AAAGTATATTTAAAGCTAGAGTTTAAACCCCTCTAGTTCCTTAATATCTCTAAAGAAGGGTCCTAAAGGAGTTAATTAAATAATTTCTCTTTAGTTTTTTACTTTCCCTTTCTTAAGCTATTTAATCTAAACTATAAGATTTTATATTATCTCTTAAGTAATAAGTCTTATTAAAGTATTATTAAATATAGTAAAAGCTATAATATCTTCTTTATTATTATATAGTAATTAAGATAAGGTAATTAGCTAAATAAAAGTTATTAATATATAATAGTTAGATAACTTATACTAGATATAGTTTAAGGTAGGTTAAGGCTAAACTAATTAGAGTATTATTTTAAGTAATATAATTAGGTTATTTAAGTACTATATAAGTTATTATTAATATATAAGTATTAAGGAGCTAGTTTTAATAAAGGTAGTAGTAATTATATTAATAACTATTTAAAAAAGTATTTCTATTTAAGAAATAAATATATATATATACTAAGGTACTTAGTCCTTATATATCTTAATTAGTACTAAGTATATTATATTTAATTATAAGTATATAGTACTTAGCCTTAAGTATTATCCTTAGTATTTAAGTATATTATATAATATAGGCGTAGAGCAGCCTATGACCAGGGCGTAATAATAAATAGAAAAGGAAAAGATAATATAAAAATAACTCTTCTACCCCCTTTAAAGATAAAGAAGTATAGAAAAAGTAATATATATATACTTTCTAATTATAATTCTAAGAGAAGTTAAGTAAATACTTACTTAAGCTTAGAAATACTATAATAATAATAGCTATAATAACTATAGTAGCTTAAAAATATAGAGCTATTTTAGATTATATAGTTACTTTAAATAACCTTCCCTTAGAACTAAAGATATAGATATAACTTATAAAGTACCTACTTAAGGATCTCTTTATAAAGGCTTATAATATTAAAATTAAGGAATTTATAGGAAAAGATACTTAAGAGGAGTAAGTAGATAAATATATTAAAAAGCTATTATCCTTAAAGTAGGTTTTTACCTATTAAATTAATTAATATAGTAACCTTAAGTATTATAAAGCTTATCTTTATATTTATAGAGATTTATAAGAAAAGGGTAATTTTAAATAGATTTATATAATTACTCTTATAGCTAAGAGCTTCTATATAGCTATTATAATAGCCTTAGCCTTTAACTTAGAGATTATATAACTTAATATTAAGAATATCTTTTTAAATACTATAAGGAGTATAAGAGAGGAATTAATCTTCTATAAAATACCTAGAGGTTATAAAAAGAAGGGTATAATTCTTAAGCTTTAAAAGGTATTATATAAACTTAAAGATTTACTTAAGTTATAATTTAATAAGTTCTTAAGATATTTTATATAACTAGGATTTATATAATATATAAAGGAGCTCTATTTATATTATAATAATATATATAAAATATTTATATTCTTCTTTATAAATAATATCCTTATCCTTTATTACTTAAATAATAAGATATAAGTAAAGAACTTTATTAATAAATTATAAAATTCTTATAAGCTTATATAGAAAGATATAACTAAGTAGTTCTTTAAGATAAGAATAATTTATAACTATATAGCTAAGAAGATATATTTAAATTATTAATAATATATTAAGAAAGTAACTAAAAAATATAATATTATAGGAATAAATATTATTTATAAGACCCTTATAGTTATAAAAGAACTTATTAAGTAATATAAGGAGGCTTTAAGAGTTAATATTAAGACTTATTAAGAGATAGTTAGCTTTATACTTTATACTATAATACTTTTATAACTTAATATAGTATTTATAATAGCTTAGCTATTATAATTCTTAATAAATCTAAGGCCTAAGTATATATATATTATTAAGTAGGTTCTATATTATCTCTTTCTAATAAAGGAAATAGTAATTTAATATAGGGGTTATAATAAGCTCTAGCTTATAAGAATAGTAAGTAACTCTTCCTTTATAAATAACCTTAAGACTTAGAGGTTAATATAGAGATATCTCTTTATACTCTTTAATAGCTTAGTTATTTAGAAAGCTATCTAGTAATTATTAGTTATAATATTAAGTATAGAGTTAGAGATTATAGCCTTATAGGCTATAGCTAAAAAGATAATTAATTTAAAGTATTTCTTTAAGGAAATATAATTATCCCTTAAAGTATTATAGGAAATCTTCTATAATAATTAATAAACTATATAGCTAATTATAATAAAAGGAGCTTAAATTTAGATCTAACTTTAGTATATAAATATATAGAATATATAGTTAAAGTAGGAATATAAAAAGCTATAGTTTAAAATTATATATCTACTTATAAAGGAGATATTAATAAATAGATTTATAAAGGTACTTTTAAGGTAGGAATTTAAGTACTTCTATACTCTTTTAAACTTAGGAGTTATAATATATAAGTAGGAATTAATTAATTAATATAAGCTAAAGAAAATAAGGTTATTAATACTATATTAACTACTTATTTATATACCTTCTTAATCTCCTTAATTAAGCTAAGAATCTTCTTTTAATAAGTAATTATATCTTCCTTATCCTTTTAACTAATAAAGAACTAATTAAACTATATATCTTCTAATTCTAAATATAGTTTAAAAACTATTTTAATATAGTTATAGAGCTAAGAAAGGATAGTTAATTACTAAGTAGTACCTTAATTTATATATAAATATATATAGATTAAAAGTATTTAAATATATTTTCTTATCTCCTATATAGAAAGCTATAAATACTTAGTAAAAAAGAGGATAATAGTAAGATAATCTATATCTTATTAATTATAGAGGGATTATAATAAAGGAGATAACCTACTTAGATTTATACTTTTATCTATTTAAAATATAATAACTATAGTAAATAGCTTTACTTTTAATACTTTAGTAAATAGGAATTCCTTACTTATAAGCTATAACCTATAAGTATTAATTATAAAGCTAAAGGATTCTAGAGGAGCTATAATCTTTAAGTATATATATATCTAGAGGAGGGTATTAAATAGTAATATAAACTATATATTCTTCCTCTATAGAGGGAATTAGCTTACTTATAAAGGGTATTCTTAACTTAAGAGAAAAGAGAAAGGAAGAGGAGGTTAAAAAGAAATTATTATTATTACTATTAAAGATATTTAAGAAAGTAAGTAAGAGTTAAAGAGAAAGGAAACTCTATTAAATAAAGGGTTTAACTTATTATTTAAATTTAACTTTTTTCTTTACTTTAGCTTAAGTTTTATAAGGAATAAGAGTAAGAAAGAGCTATATAATAATTAATTATATATAAATTTATATAAGAGTTACTATAACTTACTTTATTCCTTTTATTATATTAAAGACTTATTAATATTAAATAAAGTAAGGAGTCTAAAAGGAGGAACTTTATAAAGTTTATAGACTTAAACTAATTAATAATAAGCTTATATTTATAATATTTAGCTAAGTAAATATCTTAAAGCTTCTCTAAGATAGCTTTAGTAAGATCCTCCTTAAAGATAATTAGATAAAGTATTTTAATAGTTTATATAATAAAATTATAAAATCTAGAAATTAAAGGAGTTATAGAAGCGAAAATTTAACCTTAAGAGTATATAGGAGCCTCTCTTTTATTAATTTTCCTATATTTATTAATCTTATAATATAATAACCTTATTTAATTTATTAAATATATATCTATATATTAATTTAAGTATATTTATAAATAGTAAATTACTTATAATAATTAGGAATCTTATTATACTAAGGCTTTAATAAGGCTATTTAATTAGAGGTATATAATATAATAAGGTCTAGATTATAGGATATTTTATATAATACCCTTCCTTTATATAATAAATAAATAGCTTATCTATAGACCCTTATTAGATAATAGGAAATTTAAGTCTTCTATTAATTCTACTTAATTTAGTGACCTCTAGCTATGGCGAATTATTATAATTAGGACTAGTTAAGATGAATTGGAATCTGTCAGAATATTTCAGCCAGGAGAGTCTGGTCCATATTTATATCTATTCTACGCCACTGTGATATTTATACAAACGACGTCTCCTTCCAATGGCGCTCACCTGACTGCACGATAGACAGCTGTTCGTTTCCAGCGGTTGCTCCAACAACATTTACAAGTAACCCTGCACAATTAGGCAGCTGTCTACCAACCAGTTGTTGCCTGAAACCCTGGTGCTCATAATGGACTCTAATTTTAAGACACGGCAGCACTGAGCAAAGTTGCTGACGTGAGGCATACTTACACCGCTATTCACCATTTTTTTTATCCCTGCGTTAACTTTTACAGCGTGTTTTGGTGTTTCCGGTCACTGTTTGATTTGCTCTATCTGTGAATTTACTGAAACTCAAGGTCAATTGAGTAGCCACTGTCTCAGACACCGGCTGCTTTACAGTAGCGCTCTGCTTGAGGGCGATGCAATTGAGAGTGTTCCTTTATCATGCTGAGAGAGTCGTGGCTGCCAGCTTGACCGGATATTTGGCCTCATGCAATAAGATATTGGCAAGGATTTTCAACCTCAATACCACATTAATTCTCATCACTGACAAAGTGGTGACAGCACAAACATAAGAACTATTTGTCTATCAATTTAGGCGATCACGTCCACGATAGGAGCGGGTACAGTCACTGAATCTGTTTACAGCGGTCCAATAATAAGAGGCGTAGTACGGTGGTATATTAACCGCCTAGTGCAGAGGGGCTCAACATGCATAATGGATGTGACCTTCCCTCTCACAGAGATATCAATTGCGAATCAGGATGCAAACCGAGGGGTGTTACCACTCCATTCAGCTCCGAGTTTCCTTTTTCAATTATCGTATTGAAAGAGGCCTGTTGCAATAAAATGGGAAAGATTGCGCTATCTCGTTTCCCCAGCCATGAAGGGCCTATAACATATCCCTGACTCCGTGTCCCTTCGTCCCTTCTCTCTCGGTTCCTCCTCATGCTAACCCGGACTTGTCTTGTCTTGGCAAAATGAGAGTCCAGACCATTTGCTCACAACTTCTTCTAGTGGTGTCGGCTGTTGCAGCGCCAACTCCGAGGGCCACTTTTGCGCTGGTGCCGCTCGAAGATCCCCAGAACTGGATCGCGGGCGACAGCTTGTTCCCAAGCAACATCATTGCAGGATATCACGCTGATTATGATGCCTATAACTCCGAGTCTTGGTCAAATTACGTGCTCGATAAATGCAAAGCCTATGCCCAGTGCACGTCATCCGAGACATTCTCAGGTATGTCGACCCAAAAGCGTTCATGAGAACACCGAACTGACTCAGGGCTTGTCTTATTACTTTAGGGATCAATTCGGGCACACCGAAGATTAGGTACTGGTTTGGTTACGTATACAGAGGCGGTGCAACAACACAGGCCAACTACGAGAGAGTGGATGGAGTGGAAGACTCCATTGCCTACACAATCGTATAGTGAAAGATGAAAATCGAGTGCCTCGATTGGGATTTAAATGCCGCCGTTCATCGATAGTCTTGCTTATATAGCGGTAAACACAATATATGAAAGGAGGTCATATAGTGAACACTGAAGCCTATTGAATAGGACTATAGATGAAGAAAATACGGGTTACTCTCTCTGAACTCTTCCATGCAGGAAAAAGTCATAGAATCTAGTAGGGAGGGGGGGCGGCCAACACTGCGTAATAAATTCTTTCTTATATCGCATTGTTGCTAACCTTTCTTTCCATGTGACGAGAAACAAAAGCCTAGCCTGCTATCAATGTCTCCCCAGTACATGGTGTATACAGGCAATGCTGCCAAAGAGGGGACACGCCGCTCGGCCTATCATTCCTTGATTGGATTAATGATGGTTCCAGCGTGTTGTGTTGCATATCGGACCATTTCGCCTTTAAAATGATTTCAATGGCGCGGTGAGCGTCATGAATCCATCGCTTCATGAAAACCACCTTGCACCAGCCACGGGTTTAGCCAGTCATTTGTCGAGCTCAGCCTACTAGCGAGGCCTCAAGAAGAAAGCCGGAGAGTTCTATCACCCGTCGCTATTGCTGGCAATCATGCTGCCGGTCATCTTGGGACCAAATAGCCTTTCAAGGTGTCGGATACCCGAAGTATCCGCTTACCAACTCAGCCTGCATGAGGTGTTGGAGCAAAATTCTGAGACTTCTGCCAAACCCCACGCTCGCTCCGTCCGGATAATCCCGCAAAAACTCATCTCAGAAACGCACTGTCCTGCAGCAGGGTGCCGTAACTCCGAAGTATCCGCTGTTGTTCATGTTGTATGGAGCCCCGGGTTTGGTTCACAAACCCGAGATGACAGGGATAACAAGGGGTTCACCTACGTTCAAGGCATAAATACCTGGCTGCTGACCGAGCCTGCGTCCGGGGCCAGAATGTAATTTTCCCAGTCTTAATAAATTCTATTACGCCTTGCTCAATCAATATCTACTTCGTCAAGTACAATGGCAGCAGAAAATGATTTCAAAGTCATCATCGTGGGCGGAGGCATCGCTGGTCTCACCCTCGCCAACATGTTGGAAGAGTTCGATATTGATTACGTCGTTTTAGAGGCTCACAAAGATATTGCGCCCCAGGTTGGTGCTAGCATAGGCATGTTTCCCAATGGCCTGCGAGGCCTTGACCAGATCGGCATCCACGATCAAATCAAAGCCATCTTCAACAGCGACATCCCCTACAACAAATCGCATATGAGAAACAATGAGGGGAAAATTATCACAACCATCCATGGAATCAATGATCAGCTTGAACGCAGGTGAGTTACAGGAGACAACCTCTTTAGAGTGACAAAACTGAATGTCTAAATATACTAATGGATTTAGGCATGGATATGGTTTGCTATTCTTCGATCGACAGGCCCTTCTACAAATTCTCTATGATCATATCCGGGACAAATCCAAGGTATTAACAGGGAGGAAATTTGAGTCAGCCGAGCTCGACGACTGGGGCGTCACTGCGACGTGTGCAGATGGTTCAACGTTCCGTGGCTCTCTTCTTGTTGGTGCAGATGGCATTCACAGCAAGGCTCGGACCGTCATGAGGGCTTTGGAAGGTAAATTAGACCCGGGCGCCTTCGACGAAAATGAAGAAAGCAACGTGCCATGTTACTACAGATGTAGTTTCGGCATTGCTGTAGACGTGCCCGGATGGGTCAGCGGCGAGCAACATATTGTGACAGGCCATGGAAGGTCCCAGCTTGTTATTTCGGGCCCGGACAATCGTGTGTACTGGTTTATGTTTGAGAGGTTGCCCGAGGTCCGACATGGAGATGAGATCCCGCGATACACGATAAAAGACGAGGAAGAGTTTGCAAATCGGAACGCAAATGTAGCCATTACCGAAAGTATCACCTTTGGCCAGGTCTTTGCTTGTCGTCTGTCTTTAGCCCTCACCCCACTGCACGAAGTTGTTTATAAGAAATGGTTCTTTAGGAGGATGATCATTCTAGGCGACTCCGCCCACAAGGTAAATACAGTGTGTCACCCGTTTTTGATTCGTTTCTAATAGCTGTTTTCAAGCCCAATCCGATTGGCGGCCAGGGAGGCAACGGAGCGATTGAATCATGCGCCGAACTTGTGAACATGCTGCTGGAAAAGAAAGAAGCCCGCGGTGGCACCTTGAACAAACTGACGACCGAGGAGCTGGAAGAGGTCTTGGAGCGAACACAAAAATCAAGGCATGCGAGAGCCAAGGAGATTGTGCATGCGGCACACAGGCATCAGAGAATCAACGCTTACGAGAATCCGTTGCTCTCTACCATCCTTACAGGGTATATTTTCCCTTTGGCTGGGCCTGAACAAATCCTCACGAGGATGTCCTGGAATCTTATAGGTGCTACACATCTCAAGAACCTGCCGATTCCCAAGCGATCTCGCATGATACCATACAATGACGAGCTTCCTGCGGTGCCCTTCAGCAAAATAATCTCCATGATCGTTCGTGGCGGACAGGTCGCCTCAATGGCAACATTGGTCTTCATTAGTTTGAAGGCATTCCGTTTTCATATACCAGAGGTAATCAAATGGGCACGGGAAGCACCAATTGTTATTAAATGGTTCGGTGAAGGCCAAATCTCCGAGTTCTTCAACATATTCGTCTCAGTGTTTGCAATCCCTCTCTCAGATCAGGATCCCGGGATCAGGTTACAGATTATCAACTTTCTCTTTCAGTTGATATCACCTCTTCTCATTTACACTATCGAAGCCAACAGGGTTGGTAACCAAGGAACTGGTTTGATATTCGATCTTTTAATTGCCTTTGGGTTCCAGCTTCGGGGGATCGGTCAAATAGGCCCTCTCCATGCTGCTCTACATGCCGCGAGCTCTCATGAACTTCCAACCGGACGCCATATCCCTGTCGAGACTGCCAAAGCTCTAGTTCCGGCTGTTACATTGGGATTTGTTATTCCTACAGTACTATTATTTGCACGAACTCCGAATACAGTGGCGTGGCAACACTCTATAGCTCTCTGGCAATTTGCGCCACCAATGTTTGTTCTTCTCACTCGATTAATCTCTTCCACGATCAAGAAATATCACAAAGCAAACCGCCAAGAGAAGGAAGACAGAAATGACATGGAGCGATATGCGGACAAGGACTTGCCGATTCTCAACTCTGTCTACACGTACGCATTTGCAACTCAGGCTACCGTCCATATTGCATCGATGGCCTACGCATGGTCACATCCAAATATATCCTTGTTCAAGTCATTCCTTCAAGTGCCGAACCCGTTCATCTCGGACTGGAATCTTCCAAGTTTGAGCGCTAAGTTGGGTACCTTCTTCAAATACGACATGCTGCTATCCACTGCAGCATCAGTAGCAACTGGCCTCTACAGCATTTGGGATCTGCGCCGACTTGGTTATGTTACAACTACCGATGCTTTCACTGCCTTATTTGGAACAGTTGCGGGACAGGTCCTGGTTGGTCCAGGGGCAACTTGGGCTGGATTGTGGTATTGGCGGGAGAATCGACTGGCAGGTTTGATGACTAGACGTCAGTGAGGGAAAGTAGGCCCAAAACTATCTGTGTAAATACTCATTTGCAGAGAGGGAGGGAAAGAGAGCTGGTGATAGAAAAGATCGGCATTTCTCTCGTCGCTCGCGGACTGAAAAAATGTCCGACGACTACCTTTGAGACAAAAAGAAACAAGTCTGAGGTCAGATTTATGCGTACTTAATAATCAAAACTCTTCTTTTCCGATATCTCCGCTCCTGCATGTGTTCTGAGATCCAAGAGTGCTGTGACTCTAGTTATCTATTACGAATGGAACATACGAATATCGTACGCCAACATGATAATGACCCATACTCGCCTAAATAGTCTTTATAATTATATGTGCATTCTAGTATTTGAGGAATGTCCAATAAAACCTAGAATCTATGTTTCAGTCGCGATTCGTGGAAACTGGCAGGCTCGTCACTTCGGACTTTGATGAAACTCCGACCCCTCACGCAATTAGAAGTCGCCGAGAAGCGGGATGGTAACCTCTCTACAAGTCAAAAAATAATATATATTGCTCTTATTCACATGTTGAAATTGTCCTTTACCTCTCTCTTTTCTACATTCAAACTAACTGGTCTCATCATCATGAGTCCCACGGCGAGTATCTCCAACGATTTCGGCGTGCTTCCGATCGTGTCGGGAGTGGTATGTTAAAGATGCCTGGCCTGAACATTTTTAGAGAAACATCCTGCTGATTGATATTACTCTCTTAGGCCCTATTCGCACTTTTTGGTTACCTCATATATCTCGCATTCCTTCATCCATTGGCCAAGGTTCCTGGTCCGAAGCTATATGCCATTTCAATTGTTCCTTACATGTACCATCTGAAATCCGGAAAGTGGCATCGTGTGCTGAAAGATCTTCATGATCAGTATGGTCCAGTGGTGCGCATCGCGCCAGGCGACGTCTCTTTCATCAACCCTGACGCCTGGAAAATCATATACGGTCATAAGAATGGGCCTGTCGGAAATTTTCACAAAGACACGAGGTTCTTCCCACGCCGTATACCAGGAAAGCCCAATATCCTCACTGCAGATGAATCTGACCACAAAAGGATCCGTCGACACTTATCTCATGCATTCTCAGAGAAGGCATTGCGGGGGCAAGAGTCAATCATGCAAGAGTACGTGAACCTACTGGTACGGAAGCTGAGTGATGAAGTTGAAAGAGGAGCTGCGGTTGATATGGTGAAATGGTACAACTTCACCACCTTCGATCTGATTGGCGACTTGGCATTCGGAGAACCATTTGGGAGTCTCGAAAGCGGTGGCTATCATCCTTGGGTGGCACTTATTTTTGACATTGTCAAGATGACATCGCGTCTCTACATCCTTAAGCGTATCCCGGGTCTCATCTCACTCACGCCTCTTTTCATACCTTGGAAGCTCCTCAAGGACGCTCAACACCATTACGAGCTATGCGAAAGGACGGCTG